AAAATGTTCAAAATGTATCATAGGAACAGACTAAAGATGCCACATCTTTAGAATATTCTTGATGTATTTTGAACATTAATTTAACTACGAGATTAAGATTAAAAATGCAACCAGAGAATTTTTCTTACTCAAATAGTAATTTTTTTTACATAAATGTTAAATTATATATATTTATTAAATGAATAAATATATAGTCTACTGACTGTCTACATAGATGACACTTTTACAATAGTTTACGTTGTTTACACGTAAACGTAGAGTATTATATTTTACGCGTAGATGCACAACCCTGGTTTATACTGGCACCGACGAGATACTCTTAAAATAAAATTAACTATTAGCAAGATATAATACATATGAATTACAATGTACATGTCTAAAAAACATTGACCTATTAATAAATCATAAAATTAATGTTATATTATTGACTAATTGCTTAAATTTTAGCAATTACTAAACATGCTACGCTAAGTCCCGTAAGGGTGTCGGTCTTTAAGAATATCTCACACTTCAAATGAAAGCGCGGCGCAGAGAGGGCGACTCCACTCACGCGCTCTCTCCCTCTCTTTCTCGCGCATGAGCGCGGACGGCTCTGCCGCATCAATACCAAAAGGTGCAGACAGACACGGTGGTCGCCAGCGCTACTGTGTCGTAGTTGCGGCCAGGCTCTGTTGTGACTTCCCGTCGTGAGAGATGTCAAAGATGGTGAGTACCGCACGCACGAAAGGTCGCGAGCCAGGACAACCTCGTCGCCGTCGCCGACGCGAACGTGGCCGCGCGATGCTCCACCGTGTCGAGTTGTCGGTCGCGCGCGGACAGGGGAGAGCGAGAGAAAGCCTCCTTGGAAATCCGCGCAATCTGCTCCGCTCCGTCCTCGTCCCACACCCCCTTCGGATCGAAGCCGCATCGATAACTCTCTCCCCCTCGTCGAGCTTTGTTGTCTTGCATAAAATATGAGGTAACGTAACGCGTCTTGTCTGCTTCACAGCGGATGAAAGCGGTGAGGTGCCCCACGGATGAGCTCAGCCTCTCCAACTGTGCCATCATCAACGCCGACGATTTTCCCGACGATGTCAGGTAACAATTTGCAATTTATCCTCCCCGTTACGATTATTGTATAATTACAAATGTCCACATAATTGTCAATTACGAGAGATTAAATATTCATATTCGGTCAGTTGATAAATCAATGCGTATCCGTATTTATGTATGTTTACCTGCGTTTTAGACTCTCATTCCGGGATACAAAAATAGGCTGTATTGGAACAATAAATTATTGATTATGCAAAAGTATAGATTGCAAAAAAAGATTCGCCATGAATTTTTATAATTTATTAATATATTTGAAAAATTTATCATCTAATATATAATACATACAGTCTGATTTGACAATCCACTCGGAGTGAATGTGTTTTGCTGTGGTCGGGGTGTTGCATTAAATTTTTTGAAAGTTTCTCTAATGAAACTAACTGTCTTGTGACTACTAAATATTTTGAACACACCTATTACTACATTTGATTATTTTTTGGCATTGATCAAGATTTATCATGTTTGGATCAAAAATTGTCCAAAATCCAATATCCATACAATTGTAGTTATCTTACAAATATCCACATAATTCTCTTACTAAAATTAATTAAGAAAATTTGAGGTGATTCATATATTAATGCATATTCATGCAATGTAAAATGTTTATCTGCATCTTTCAAAACAATTTCAGAAGTAAAAAGTGTTAAAGCAATAAATTATTTATCTTATAGAAAATTATGTTTTAAAATAAAAATTCTAAATAATTTTAGTTTTATCCAATTTTATATATATATATATATATATATATATTTAAATTGAATATATATATATATTTAAATTGTTTTATTTGAAAAATTTTCTTAAAAATTTATGTAAGTTTATACAGAGACTAAAGAGTTATATGTATTTTTAAATCATGATGCAATAAGTATACTAATTGGTATTATGCTGTCCATTACAGGCACATCGAAGTAACCACAGCACCAAATTATCATTTCGTGTTTACCGTGAGAACGCACCATGAGATTCCGCGCGGCACAGTTGGCTTCAGCCTGCCGCAGCGAAAGTGGGCAACATTGTCTCTCAATCAAGAGATTGAAGTTCGGCCGTATCACTTTGATCCGACTTCTAACACAGAATGTTTATGCAACATCGTTTTGGAGGCTGATTTTTTGCAGAAAAAAACGTATGTCAATTAGAAAATTATATATATCACAGACATGCGATATAATAATCTCTGTTTAGTATGATTTATAAAATATTTCTTTTTACAATTAAATGAACAAAATTATATGTAAACTGACCAGGGGTTGGTCGTATTTAAAATAACAAAAAGTAAAAGTTATTTAGTATTTATTATTTTAAATAGCTCCTGTCTATTTTATATTTTATATTTTAAATATATTTTTGGAATCTATTTTATATTTTAAACAAGTCGTATTTCTGGAATCTATTTTATATTTGTTATTTTAAATAGATTATATCAGTTACTTTATCGACTTCTGCTTCAGGAATTGGTCATATTTAAAAAGAACATTATTTAAAATATGTATTTTAAATAAAAAAAGTAAAAGAATTATTTAATATTTATTATTCTAAGTAATTTCTTCTGATCTATTTGTCATTTAATATTTTAAATACATGTTTTTGGAATCTATTTTATATTTTTCATTTTAAATAAATCATATCAGTTTTTTTATTGGCCTCTGCGATATTTTATTTTCAATAAGTTTCTGGAATAACTATTTTATATTTGTTAATTTTAAATAAGTTGTATCAGTTATTTTACCGACCCCTGGACTAAACTCAATGAATTTTGATCAGGAGATATGGAATCTTGATATCATAGCCAAATCTTCCGTTAGCTCTCTTCCTGTCATTTATACGTTGCTTTACATTTATATCATCTGACATTTACATATTGTTATTCCAGTGTCACTTTGGAGCCGTACAATACGGACGAAATGGCCAAGGAGTTCTTGCTACAGTTTTCAGGACAGGCATTCACCGTGGGTCAGCAGCTGGCATTCCAGTTTAAGGATAAGAAACTGCTTGGATTAGTTGTCAAAAGTCTGGAGGCCGCCGACCTGTCGGCGATCAGCTCGGGACAGAGTACAATGCCCAAGAAGACGAAGATGGGACGTTGCCTGGGCGACAGTATAATACAGTTCGAGAAGGCGGAGAACTCCAGCCTGAATCTCGTCGGGCAGTCCAAGGGGAAGGCCGTCCGGCAGGCGATCATCAATCCCGACTGGGACTTTCAGAAGATGGGCATCGGTGGCCTGGACAAGGAGTTCAGCGCCATTTTCCGACGGGCGTTCGCGTCCCGTGTCTTCCCGACGGAGATTGTCACCCAGCTGGGTTGCAAGCACGTGAAGGGAATCCTGCTGTACGGGCCGCCCGGCACGGGTAAGACGTTAATGGCGCGGCAAATTGGAACGATGTTGAACGCGAGGGAGCCGAAGATTGTAAACGGCCCGCAAATTTTGGACAAGTACGTCGGAGAGAGCGAGGCGAATATCAGACGATTGTTCGCTGACGCGGAGGATGAGGAAAAGAGGGTAAATAATTTGAAATATGTACACCGGACACAGTATGTATTTGAATCCCCGGATCTCCTTTACGTGTAACTGGAGAAAGAGACGCTTGAGGAACAATGTTACATTTTCAGCTCGGGCCAAACAGCGGACTTCACATCATTATATTCGATGAGATTGATGCCATATGTAAGTCTCGAGGTAGCGTCGCTGGGAACACGGGGGTTCACGACACCGTGGTTAATCAGCTTCTCGCGAAGATCGACGGTGTCGAACAGTTAAATAACATTCTTGTTATTGGTATGACCAACAGAAGGGATATGATCGATGAGGCCCTGCTAAGACCTGGCAGATTGGAGGTAAAGTTGAAGTTTTTTGATAAAACGAATAGTTTTTTTTTTTTAAAGCTACACGAATGCGAATATGAACAGAATATTTGTTAGCGTTCAATTCGCGTTTAGTTCATTTTGATACATCTCTTTTCAGTGCCGGAGGGAGGGGCCCCCACACGGAAAGAACAATTTTGTTGGAAGGTCTAAAAATTTTGCTGAATACAGATCTGAAAATTTTGTTGAAAGTTCAAACTGGTTGCCAGAATATCAAAATGTTTTACAGCAATGCTTATCATTTTTGAGTTTCCAACAAAATTATTTTCAGATCTGTATCCAGTAAAATCTTTAGACTTACCAGCAAAATCGTTCTCTTTTCGTGCACACAAACGAAACTTGATTAAAAAGAAAATTTGGTTTAAAAAATCAGGACCCCCTTCCCACTTCTTTAAATTCGGCACTGTCTCTTCGCTATTTAATGTTTTAAACGTGTCCTTATTTTCTGTGCTTAAAGTTGCAAATGGAAATTAGCTTACCAGACGAGCATGGCCGGCACCAAATTCTTAACATCCACACCGCCCGAATGAGAGAGTACAAGAAAATAGCGCCTGACGTGGACCTGAAGGAGATGGCCACTCTGACCAAGAATTTTAGTGGCGCCGAGTTGGAGGGCTTAGTTAGGGCAGCACAGAGCACCGCCATGAATCGATTGATTAAAGCCGCCAGCAAGGTGGAGGTAGATCCATCCGCAATGGAGAAACTTATGGTGACCAAAGGCGACTTTTTCCACGCGTTGGAGCACGACGTTAAACCGGTGAGTGATCGGGAATTGAAGATTCTTTATTGTCCATTGAATAGATTAAACTCTTGCGATTGAACTGTTTTGCAATATATTTTCTCGTCCGTATATTCATATACTTATGTAAATGAATATATGGACGAGAAAATAATGCATTTATAAGAGACACAACGGTTAAAATGTTGCACCTTCTCTCAGGCATTTGGTACAAGTGCTGAAGCATTGTGTCAACTGTTGACCCGTGGAATTATTAATTGGGGAAGACCGGTGGCTGAAATTCTCGCCGACGGCAGTCTGTGCATTCAACAAGCTCGAGCGACCGAGGGATCCGGACTCGTTTCGGTTCTCTTGGAGGGACCACCGAACAGCGGCAAGACAGCGCTCGCCGCACAAATTGCGAAGAATTCAGACTTTCCGTTTGTCAAAGTGTGCACGCCTGAGGACATGGTCGGCTTCATTGAATCCGCAAAATGTCTTTCTATACGAAAGGTATGGTTTCGACCCATTTAATATTTCTTATATACAGTTTATCCATGTAAATACATGTAATTTATTATAATCCGTAAATACACGCAATTACATCCGATGTGAAGCTTGGAATAATCGCTTGCCATTTGTGCATTTTATTTGCGCAGGTGTTCGACGATGCATATCGTTCGCAGCTCAGCTGCATTTTAGTTGATAATATCGAACGTCTCCTGGATTACGGCCCGATTGGACCAAGATATTCTAATCTGACACTGCAAGCGCTTTTAGTGTTGCTAAAGAAATCACCGCCGCCTGGTCGTAAACTATTGATTCTGTGCACTTCTAGTCGCAGGTAAGAACCTGCTTTTTTTTCATGGAGAAAAGAAAAAATTATTAAAAGAAACATGGCCTTAACAATATATATATATATATATATTTTTGCAGACAAGTTTTAGACGACCTGGAATTACTTCCAGCATTTAATACCATCCTTCACGTGCCTAATTTGTCAACCCCTGATCATTTGTTGAACGTGTTGGAAGAAGTTGATCTCTTCTCGAAACACGAAATGGCTTCCTTACATGCAAAGCTTCAAGGAAAACGGTAAGATGTTACTACAACTTTATTATGATAATATATGTGATATTATTTGGTATATATAGGGCAAATATCTTGTTATAAGTATTTTATCATTATATACGTTTATATATATAAACATATGATAAAATATTATATATATATATATATATATATATATATATATATATCAGGGTTGGATAATAAGTTAATAGCTAGTTAAAAAGAAAAAAATGAAGTTAAAAAGTTAAATCATTTTAACTTAACTTAGCTACATTTTAGACTCTTAACTTTTAACCTAATTTAATTACATTTTATCGGTAATTATTAACTTTTGATCTAACTTTCGTGAAATTACATTTTCAGTGCTTCTTTTAAACCCAAAGTAAAATACATATTTGCGTTGGTGTCCTTAAATTCAAATTTGAGAACGCACATCAAGGCAATTGTTATAATATTATAAATATAGTCTGGCCGCGGAAAGGAATCACTATTCGCGAACCTTCTATGCATTAAATTATGTTGGAAGAAGTCGTTTGAAATCAGTCCTCTTTCCGCGGCTTGACCGAAATAAATAATAACAAATATACACTTTATTTAGAAACTTTATTTAGGAATCCTAAAATTATAAAATGAAAAAAGTTTAACTTTTAACTTTTCAATTACTTTTTTTTATTAATTTAACTTTTAATTCAATTAATTTTATTATGGATTAATTTATATCGCAACTAACAAGTTAAATTTTTAAGACTGTTAACTTTAACTTAACTTAGTTAAAAAAATATATTAACCCACCCAACCTTGATATATATATATATATATATATATATATATATATATATATATATAACGTTATTACTACATATTTTCATCATTATGCATTTTATGATTTCAGCGTATTCATCGGTATTAAGAAACTGCTCTGCCTAATAGATATGGCACGTCAAGTGGAACCAAGTTACAGAGTCGCGAAATTCTTGTCAAAACTGGAGGAAGAAGGCGGTCTAGAGTAAGATATATATATATTCCATTTCGAGCCGCGTTACTCTCGTGGTAGTGCGGAACGAGAAAGGGCACGGAATGCTTTTTAAGCTCGTTTCGAGTGTAGATCGCTCAAGCTGAAGTTTTGATCACCTCAACGAACGCATTCTCAAATTATAGTAATTTAAATGTAGAAAATTTATAGCTTCTCTGTATAAATGAGAGAGATATAATCAGTGATATCTAGATCTCTGTGTTACAATGAGTTCCCGCGACATGTAGAAAGTAGGTAACACCAGCTTGTATTGTGAATATTGTGATGCATATCTGAAAAAAAAAACACGTAATTAATTCTGTATTCTGAAGTACAAGTGCTACATTATTGCAGATAAATAACAGTTAACAGTTATAAAATCGCAGAGATTAATATCATATTTTCGTATGATATTTTCATACATAAGTATTGTGTTTATGCCATCTTAATTTGATTTAATTCTGATTAACTCTAGCAAATCCAATTTCCAATAATTTATAGCCTTCGATTATAGATTTAAGGGGATGGCTAAACTGGAAATCAAAAACTCCAAAACGTCGCTGTTTTACCGACGATTTATGCATATTTATGCGTGCGATATTGATAGTAGTAGTGTATAATAATGTGTTTATGTTTACCACATCAATATCGCATGCACACATCGTAACAAATTTTCTAAATTAATAATCTTTTACATTAAAGCTTCCAATTTATTTCTGAAAGCAGAGCACTGTTCTTTCATAATTCCTAGTTTAAATCAAAATTGTTTTATATATATATAAAAAAAAAAACAATTATACCTAACTTATGAAACTTATATAAAGCAAATATTGTTACAAGTCGACGCCAGAAGTCGATAATAAGACTGTAATTTTTTCAACTTTTTATCGCTTTTGGCATAAAGTCGACCGATTTGGACTACATTATCGTTTATACTTTAATCGTAAAGGATTTTAAAATCCGTAAGAGCAGTTAGAGAAATACTTGTTTGAAAAATCATTTGGTAGGTAAAACAGACGACTTTAAGATCCCCTTAATAGATTTATTTGTTGAACTTGTTCGCATTTGGAGAGATAATTTACCATTTAAGGGGGTATTCTAGTCTAGCGGATCGCAAAAATCGATTTTTCTTTTTTTACATATTTTGCAAGTATTTGATATGGAAAATATGTCTGCAAAAGAATTTAGCCCGATTCGCA